TTTTTTTTTTTCTTCAATGCCTGTAACAGTCTTCTTTACCATAGCTTGCATTCTTTAACTTTGAGACTTAAGGTTAATTTCCTTCTTAAACAGGATGTCTTTGAAGAATTGATTATCAGGTATTCCCTTTTTTCCTGTTATTTGTTCTAGTTCTAGTTCTATTACAGTCATCTCACATTTCTATCAAACTATTGTAAAACAGCTCTTTGAATTAGAAATAAAATTCTCATCCATTTAGGGGCACCTGGGTGGCTCAGTCGGTTGAGCATCCGACTTCGGCTCAGGTTATGGTCTCCTGGTTCGTGAGTTCAAGCCCTGTGTCGAGCTTGCTGCTTTCGTCACAGAGCCCACTTCGGATCCTCTGTCCCCTGCCTCTCTGCCCCTCCCCCACTCATGCTGTCACAAAAATAAAAATTAAAAAAACATTAAGAAAATGCTCATCCATTTAGACTCATTATGAAAGATTATCAAGAGTTAAGTCTTATTTTAAATTTCTTGGCTTTTAAAATAAAGTTTTATATAAACCTACTCTAGGAGCTTTTAGCATGCCCCTAAATAAACACATATACGTATATTTGAACATAATAAAATATTAATCATTCAGGCAATAATATCAGGTATGACTCATACAGGGAGGAGTTGGACTTTATCTTCTCATTATCTGTGAATAAAAGATTTGCTAAATAACCTAACCAACAGACTTGCTTAAGAGTGTGAATTTTTTTAGGATCTTTAAAAACACATCATAAAAATAATTATGTAGCCATTAAAATTAACATTATTCTAGCTTACCTCTTCTCATTCTATGTATTAAAATCACATTTTATCTAAAAACATTTTGCCTTACTGGAAGTAGACAACAGAGATATCTAAAAAGTTCTAATACGTCAAGTACCTCCTGATAGAGAAATGTAAGAAATGTCTCTTTTGCATTTTATTTAGTGAGACAAGACCCTGGAATAGGAATTATCAAATGGAGATCTGTGAACCCCCCGATTTATGTATATGTGATATTTTCTGGAGAGAGTGTTTATAAATTTCCTTAGATTATTTTTAGATATCCACGATCATAAAGTGGTAAGAATCACTGTCTAGAAAGTCAGTAGCCTAGTATTTAGTGCTTTCTATAGAATTTGCTTATTAATGCATCAAAACCAAGCAGAGAAAAATTGGTAAATTTATATATTTTGCTGTTTATTTGAAGCTTAGTTAGTAGTTATAGTAGTAGTCATTAAAATGCAGGAAGTAAATAGCTAAATTCTCCTGCTGATGAAAGTTACCATTAAGCTTTAGTGAGAATTGTATGTGTTTAACACATACAATAAAGACCTATGAAATGTGAGACCTATGAAATAATGCTCTAAGGTCCAAGTTTTTAAATCAGTGAAGAATTATTACTAAGTAAATGTGGGGAGGGAGTATTTGTATGCATTTGCTTTAGCTATGGGGATGTGGATGATTTGAACCACAACACAAAGCATATTAACAACTGGAACTGAGTGCTTTTGAAAGCAAGTATGTATTACATTATGCTATAAGATTAACCAGACAGTATTCAACAAACTAAATCATCGTGGAGCTAATTGAGATTAATTCATTATTGACTCACAAGAATAGTAGCTATTGAAAACTACACCAACTAAAGACAACAAAATATCCTTACCTCCAAATTACAGAAATTCTCAGCCATTTATACATGTAAAGGCTTTGCAAGTTTGCATAAGAGCCAAACTTCTTAGTAGAAAACAGTTTCAAAAATTATGGGAAATTCAAATTGTACCAAATTTTCACTGGTGGTATATATGCCTATCCAAAAACCATTCACCAAAAATTCTTACAGCTTTTCTTTATTGGATTAGTAGAGATTTTTACCAATTTTTGTTTCCAAATCCTTTCCTTTAACATCACCTTTCCCTCTTCTCCCTCTTTCAATCCATCTGTATTCACACTGCAACACTTATTTCTCTAAATTTGCTTTAAGCATCTGCTGCAACTATCCACTGTTGTTATATTTGGTATAACAAAATCCAGCAGTTGTGTTAACCTAAGACTGATTTAATTTTAAATGTTTATTTTTTCACTCTTAAGATATTTCTAGTGGGATACTAACTGAATTTCTTGGAGGGTTTTGTTTGTTTCCTTTGAATGCCCTTTCTTTAGAATTAGTGAATTTAACTAACATCTAGCTAAAGGAGAGTAGCATTTATATTAAATGTTGCTGAGGGACCTGAATGAAAAACATAAATAAATCATACCTAGGTTAGGAGCTTCACCAAGTACCCCCAGAACACATAAGTAAACGAACGGGCCCTGAGTATGATGGATAAAAGCAATTCTTTCAGTTTTGGGGTATGAAATGGAAGTTGTTTTATTGTAGAGTGGTTTTTCTTCTTTTACTTTATCAGAAAACAGAATCATTTTTCCTTAGGAAATGTTATGTATGTCTTACTATAGACCTACATAATAAGCTAGTTATTTTTCAGTGTTCTATAGGAATGTTTGAAATTAACAATAAAATAACCATAAAGTACTTTTCAGGATTTAAATTCTTATGTCTATTTATATTTTATTAAGAATTTGATGCTTTGACTATAGTATTAGCATTCTTTTTTCTCACTAACACATGGAAGCAGAAAATAGAAAAATGTCTTAGTTTTTTCTTTTTTTTTTTTTTTTTTTTTTTTTTTTTTTTTAAACCAGTACTCAACTGGATGGACTGTGCAGTAATTTTCTAATGCTCTTAGAATAAAATGAAATTCATTCCTTGGTCTGGAAGTCCATTGTAAGCTGGCCCCTGCTTACCTCTCCTACTTCTCACAGCCTCTTTGACTGTTTTGATGCTTACTTTTTTTTTTTTTTTCTCTTCTTACAGTATGCCACCCTGTGTCCATGTTAGCATCCTTGCACTTGCACTTGTCCTATATCTAGGACATATTCCCCCAGGTTCTCTTGTAGTTTTCTTTTTGACTTTTAGGTCAAGACCGCCTCCCTAATACTCACTGCAAATAGTGTAATATAGTCAGTCATTATCAACCACCCTTTTTGTTTTCTTCATAGTATTTACTGCTATTTGGGATTATTTTATTTCTTTTTTAAGTTGTTTTCTGCCTCCTTATCCCCACTAGAGTGTAAGTTCAAACTAAGATGAAAGGAGAAAATGTCTTTTCCATTGTATCCTTAGGATTGAAATTCTAGAACATCACCTGATACATAGCACTCATTAAATAGTTGCAGAATTTATCAATTAGGTGTTCCATCTATAAGTGTTAGAAATATTTTGAAGAATATTTTAAAGGACTTCTGGCTTATATTCTGGACTGAAAGTTGTCAACATTTTAGCATTTTGAGAAACATTAATCTTCTTTTGCTGGTTATTAATAAGAAGTAATAAGTATTCATCTTAATATCTAGAATTACAATTTCATTTTTGACAGGTTGACTTTGGCAGAATATCATGAACAGGAAGAAATTTTCAAACTTAGACTAGGACATCTCAAAAAGGTATGTGAAGCATATGCTGGAATTTTAGTTTGTTACCAGAGGTCATGGAGAGTTGTTACTGTAAGTCTCTCGTTGGAGAAGTCAGCTTAGAGAGAAAATACCCAAAGCTCAGACAGAAAAAAAGAGGGGCATTAAAGTTGTCCTTTTAAGTTGAATATGTTAAAATAACATGCCTTTTACCTTGTGGCAGCTTACAAACATTGAGATGCTGATAATACCGTGTCCCTGTAGTGGAGAAGTGACTCCTGGCCAGACTTTCAGGGTCTTAAGATTACTGTGTTTAAGTACTATTTTTGTAAAAATGCTTCATTTTTAAGATGAAATGTAAATTTCCATATTGTTTGTGTCCATTTATAATAAACTGAAATAATTATAAATTAATAACAAACTTGGTTCTTTGGCTTAAGTTTTAAGCTATCAAATGCTTGAGTAAATGTTTCAACTAAAATATGTACATTGGCAAATTTAGAAGAGCCTTAATCATTAATAATAGTATAAAGTGATATAATTTATTAAAATGTTGCTACGTGTTATTATAGTAAAATTTTTTAAATGTATAGCTTTGTACTGATTTGTAAACTACGAAATTGTAATCAGTTCATTGTTTTTACAGTTTTTTAGTTCAAACTATTTCAAATAAATAATAGATTTTCCCACTCAAAATGAACTTAATGACAGATGTAAAATTCTTTTTCTTTGACCAAATTTTTTAATTCTGCTTTTTGCTTGTCACATCATTTACATATTTTTTTTAATAGGCTGAATAATTGCTAAAAGTGAGTTAGTGAACTAATCAAAGATAGCTTCTGTGAAGTTGTCTTCCTGTGAGGTAGGACAGAGAAACCCATTCTGGTAGCAGCTGCCATCATACTATGTACTGTTTTGTTTTTGGAATGCCATCAACCTGCTTTCAGACCCCTGCCATTACAGAGAATAGAAAAAGATACATAAATGTGTCCACATATATGTGTAATTTGCATTAGCGTTTTTAACTATGCTGTATCTGTCTATGCCCCTACTCAGAAAAGTTTCAACCCCAAATACTTTAACAGTAGATTGTGAAATGATTTATTCTGGTCTTTTTTTTTTTCTTCTTAAAGTGTATTTTCTTCTGTTGTAATTATTGACTATTTTTCCTGCTCTTTGGGTTACAGTAGACAACTTCAGTCTATTCTCTGTAACAGATGGAGTTGTAATGAGACTGTTGGGGGATTTTGTAATACAGAATTAGTATAAGTATTGTGTGCCCACCTAAGCAGTTGTCATAATGAATTCATAGAGACCTATGCTTGATGTCCCCTATAAAGATTTATCAATTATTTTCAAACCAGCCTTTCATGATAATGGAACACTTTAACTGGAGGGTTATTATTTTTACATATAATAAAATAGTTCATTTTAAATTATTCTAATAATGAGATTGTACATGTGTATCTTATTTTATGAAAACCTGTTACATAAAATCTGAAATTACAAAGCAGTTATATTAGAAATCGGCTATTTGTATTACAAAAAATACTTTGCTTTTTGAAAAGCTTCAGAGAAGGGTTGGTTTTGGTCTTGGTTGGTTGTGTTTGGTTGACTTTAAAGCTTTCCTGGTACTTTGAAAATATTTGGTTTCTCTGAAACACTTCTGTAAGTATTCTTAAGGGAGGTATACTTACACATCTAGACACTATCTAAATAGTTGCAAACTGTTGTAAAATACTACCCTTTCTCTTCTAACCTCCATATTAGCCTCTTTCCCTGTGTTTGACTTCTCCATGTTTTGTATTACTCATTCTTTCTGATAACTGTCCCCTCCGTAATCATTTTCCTGCTTTATTTTTTCAGCTTTTATCATATTTACTGAGCAGCTCTAGATTTCTAACTTTATCTTCTTAGCCATTTTACAACAGTACTTTTCTTTGACCAACATCATGGAATATTTTGGGAGAGTGGATAAACTACTAATGCTGAAATATGCTTTCATGTCTTGAATTCTCGCATTTTCTTCTAAGAGGCTATTTTGGGTGAGAAGAATGTATGAATGCATTATAAAGAAAGTTGTTGGTAGTACATACAGAGAACAGAATTGAGTAAGTAGTGTCATCTTAGAGCACAAGTCAACAAGAGTTGCCTGCCTACCACTTGGATATAAATTTTGAGTTGCACAATTAAATAATAAGCATTAAGTCACATGTTTTAAAAAGTTATTTGGCATTCCAAAGCACAACTGGAAAATAGGCCATTAAAACAGGTCATTCTGTTTTCTAAAAAAGTAGATTGGACACTTTTAATACACAGAGAACAAGCTTCAGTTAAGAGAAAAGATGTTATGACCTCTGTTTTAGCAGTTCCCTTCGCTCCTGGGTTTATTAAGCTGACATGAACTGTACCCAAGTTGTAACTACCATATGGTTTCTACCATAGGCTGGATCTGATCTGTGTATATTTGAGATCCTTGTAACCTGCACAGGAATTAACCTATAGTATGCCAGCTTACGGTTTAGATTTAGAGCCTGACATACTCTTGCTTTCATTCTGTCTTTAAGCCGAAGCAGGCTCTTAAAGTTCAGTCAAATTACTAGATTAAATTTGTGGGCACCGAAAGAGAAACTTATTTTATTGAGGAGGCCCATGTTATTTGGACATACGGGACTAGAAGACCTACTTACTTTTTTTTGAAATGAATAATTTATGATGTGCATTGTATTTTGTAAAGATCATCATAATAATTGTGAATAGGTAAACTGAAATATGAAAAAGTATATTTACCATTGAATAAATCATAAAGTTCAGTTCACATTCTGTGCTGTTCTGCGGGGTTAGAAATATAATAAATCCAAAGCTGTGAAAGTGATAGAGTAAGGAATGAAAGGTAAGCAGAAGTCTCCAAAAGTAAGTCCATGGCTAACAAATAGATATTTCTGGGGCTTAGGGGCTTATTAGTTTTTTCTTCTGAGATTAGGAAAATTGCTGTGCAGCACCTTTTTTTAAATATATATCAAGAATTCTTCAATATTTTCAGTTTTTCTCACTTTATGAAATCATTGCTCACTCATTCACTAAGTGACTTATTTCCACACTCCGCCTGAAACAGGCATGATTCGTTTCCCCATTTCAGAAGAACTACATGATAACTACACTTGATGGATTTTGAAGTTTTAACCATTCTAGAGTGAATATTAATGTTAACTTTTTGAATGCCGGGATCTTCTATGTTTTGTAGAAATTAATAAAAGCTAGTAACTGGCAAAGCCAAACATGAACCTTTTTCCACTCCCATTTCAATGGCAATACCTATACACTTATTCCTACAATTTTTTTGTTGTAGTTAGGATAGCAAGTTGATTCTTTGTATTCAGAAGAATTAATTCACTTGTAGCTCTCTTTGCATCTGTCTTAGAATAGTGCTGATGTTGGCTTTTTGTTTTTTCAGATACATGCTTCATTTTCATTGCAGATAAAGGAGAGCAGTATAGTTTTTCACCCACGGATACCCTTTCCCTCACGTATTACTTTCCTTGGGTAATGTTAGTGATGATTATATCAGCTACAGTATTTCTTATTAGCTGATACATTTGCTTTTCACTCTAAATTTATTTTTAAAGGTCAACTGAAAAGCACATTTTTAATAAAAAGTATAAATACTCTAACATAATCTTACCTTTTATGTAGCTTAAGGATTTAACAGAAAAGAACTATATAATAAAATACATGGAGACTATGCAAATTATACCCAAAACAGTTTTTAAAAAATGACCTTTCACTGGTAGTAATTATGTGCAAATTTACCCAGTTATCACTTACTAAAAGCTAGTAGTTGCAATAGGAATAATTTACTATCTTTAAGAAGTTGGTTCTTTGAAGCAAGACTACTAACTGTCCCATTTTATGTACCTGTACCACATGTGGAATATGGATTTAAGGAAACTAACAGACTGTATGTCAGTTAGCTTTTATGGTTAATCCTGTTTTGATACCAGTCTTTGATAAATCCTAGTTATGGGAAAGCAGTTTATCTTTTTGATTTGAGGAGTTCTGCAAGATTGTTGTTTGTATTCAGATAATTCTGGAATTGAAGAAAACTACATGGATATGCTTTTCTAGGATTGTTACTAAATTAACACAAATATATATATTTTTTAAATTTTTTTTTAGTTTATTTTTTTAGAGAGAAAGTGAGTAGGGGAAGGGTGGAGAGGGAGGGAGAGAGAATCCTAAGCAGGCTCTGCCCTGTCAGCACAGAGCCCAATGCAGGGCTCGAACTCACGAACTGTGAAATCATGACCTGAGTGAAAATCAAGAACCAGATGCTTAATCGACTGAGCCACCCAGGTGCCCCTAACACAAATATATTTTTTAAAAATCCCTGAAAAACCATCATCCTTGTAATAGATTCTCTCTGTAGTCATACTGTTATTTAAATGATCCTAGTTACCCATCATGGCATCCCAAAATGATGAGGAAATAAGAATTTTGAAGGTTATTAGAACTAATAACTATGTCTTGCCCCTGCTGTTACTTAAGTTTGTGATGTGAACAGCGTGCATATGTTGCTTTTTATTTTTTAGTCTTTAAGTTTTGTCCTCTTCTATATTTAAAATACTTGATTAACTAAAGAAAATAATACATATAGGAAATTTGACATCTCAGTATGGAATATTAAATAATGTTAGTAGGGATTGGCCTTAATATATGTGTTTTGGGTTGTGTGTGTGAGAGGGAGAGTAAGAGTGAGAGTGAGAGAGAGAGAGAGAGAGAGAGATTTATAAGCCCTGAATATAAGTGCTGGAAGTTTATTTTGAAAAATATAACCAATTTGTAATTTGAAACAGGCTTAGTCAAGAATCCTCAGCACCAACACAAATGTATCTTTGCAGACCGAAGGAATCAGCTAAACAATTTGCAGTCATCTCAATCTCTACTAAAACAAAAATCACATCCAACATGCCACCTGACACCATTTCTTTCTCTCTCTCTCTTTTGCTCCTTGCGATGTGGCATTCATCTCTCCT